TTATACTTAAAACGGTTTTTTATACTTTAATCTGTTTTAAATAGTAAAATGTTAACCCTGTGAATAAGACACAGCTTTTTTTTTTTTTTTATAATGGAGTTATTCTTTATTTAAGAATTTTTATTTTATAATTTAAAATAAATTTGATGATAAAACAACAAACTTTTTATTGTAATAGAGTTAGTTAGTTTTCTATTTCAATATTACTTGCAACAAAATAATAATTATTAGATTAAAAAAACTCTCAATATTAAAATACTTATTTTAATTTATATAATCTAGACCATCTAATACAATATCTTCTAAACAACATTTTTTTTTTTTTAACAATTATCTTAAATCTATAGATGTCTAGGAAATGCTTGCATTCTAGCATCTTTTTGGTTTGGGAATTTGATTCTATGATGCGCTTTTTGGTTATCGGTATTTGATTTTTCATAAACATTTAATGTGGGGCAGATGTATGGTTGAATTGTCGTGGGAAGGAGAAAGTGACATTGAGGTAGAGGCCTATTTCTTTGGTAACTGGTGGGGACAGTTGCAGATTTGAGTGAGGTTGTGCCTTTTCTTTCTTTAGGAATAAAGCACATGAATAATGCACAGCTCAAAAAATACACAATTATTGAAACTTCCTCTCTCTTCCCTTGGACCCTTATCGTTAATAATTAATAATTTATTCATAGCATGAAGACTCTGAATTTCAACTCTAGGTTTAGTGGTTTTGTTATGAGTAATTGATAGGGAAATCAAAACAAAATGTTGTTTCATTTGAGAATATTTGTTACTTAAAATCAAATATCTAGATTCACATGAAACTAACATCAAGATTAGTAAGGCCTTAGAGAGACATTTGCAATAATTTTGATTTTATTTTGTTTAATCATTAGGAAAAAATTCATAAGCCATATATAATAATTAATAGTTGCTACCCAGAATTCAAATATCATTATTTGTCACATTAGAGAAAACAAATATGAGTTATCCCTAATAATTAAACTAAACAGGTCTTATTTGAGTTGGTAGTCATTAACTCTCTGGGTTTGAAGACACTTCTGGATGCACCAAAACAAAATGTTCCCTCAATGAGTTATTAGCATATTAGGACCCCTTTTGGTTGGTTGTCAAGCAATATGTTCATGGGAAGGTTTGGTAATGGGCCAAGAACTTGAACCACTTCTATTTTTGTGTGGTATTGGGCTTTGCAAGATTAAATTGGTGAGTCCATTTCTTGATACCGTTGACTATTTGACTGGATTGGGGAATAACCATTAAGCTCCACCCAATTAGCTTCTTAAACTTCACCAAGCGATCCGATGGGTCGCATGCTTCATTAAGGGAGGTGAGATATTCATAAGATTTGGAGATCAAATCTCCAGTTGCTAACAACTAATAAAACTAACCTACTAATCATTACTTTTGTCAAAAAAAAAAAATTAGCTTCTCATTTTCCTTAACCCTTGAGACTCAAAATTAATTGGTGAGTGCAAAACCTTCCAAAAGAAAATCATTGCATTGTCGTCAGGCCAATAAAGGAGGGAACAGTGTAAGAGAGGAAACGGGCTTTAACTGAAAGGACAACGCCCTTTGTTCATCGCATGCCCTTGCAAAGGAATACTTGTCTCTTGTGAAAAGAGAGCTCTGTCTCTGCAACTGCATAAGCTTTTCCCATGGCTACCAGAGAATTAGATTCCCTCACTACACTCAAGCAAAATTCCCAAACTCTTTCGTCATTCATCCTTTTTCTTTAATCATTAGCGTCTCTCTCGGTTTGGTCATCTCATCATCAAGAACAACAAAGCCGGAAAAAGAAGATACTTTTGAATTTGATCTATGATGCATCAAGAAGCTTTAGAATGGGCTCTCGTTTTCAAGGCTTGAAGTGAGGGGTTCAATATGAAATGCATGATTAGATGCTTAGATCTTCAAATGGGATTGGTTTAATATTAGAAGGGAGAGAGTGAGGGATTGAGAAGTAGTTCCCTTTCTGTGGACTGCGAAGTGAACAACTTGTTACTCTTATGAGTTAATGGTTACACATGTATGTCAAGTATGCAAGTGTAATAGTTAAGGAAAATTCAACACTTTATCGCCACCGGCCATGTAGTTCGATGACATAGTTATTTATATTTTTAATCACAAATTTATAATTTAATTTTTGTCTCCATTTATAAAAGAAACACATTATTTTGATTGTAAAATAATTCTTGAATAGCTATCCATCTATAGAAGATGGGTAAAAGAAACACATTGTATCAAAAGTTGAATTACTCATTACTTTTAACTACTCTAATGAATATTTTCTTTAACTAACGAGTTATAAATCTAATTTAAAATAATTCAATTATTTTTAAATAAGGTTTCGAATTTAAATCTTATAAATGAAAAAATAAATATTAAGAAAGATTTTAATTATAAGATTTGATGCGATTCGATTTTAAATTAATCGAGAATTATTGTAACTCATGGATATTAAAAGTTTAGTAAAAAAAAAATTCACCTTCATTTTGTTTTTTCTTAGGGTGTGTTTTTTTTTAAAGGGTAATGATTAGTAGTTAGGTTAAGAATTGTTAGTAATTAATGATTCAATCCTTAGAACAGGTGATATCTCACCCCCTCATTGAGGCGCGCACCCATCGGATCGCATGGTAGAGTCTTAGGGTGTGTTTGGTTTGCAATTTCGGAGGGAAACTGCTGCTGCCTTGAAAGCTCTTACCCTAAAAAGCAACTAAACGCCCGATAATAGTTGCTTGAGGGTAGTAACCTTTGAGACAACAGCTTCTCTCAAAAACCTCTTATTAATCATTCTTGGCATGCTGAATATTAGTTGATAAAGCCGAGAAACATAGAACAGTTCAAAGTCCCAAAGCAAAGCAGAAGCAAACAGATAGATTCCTGCCAATTCTTTCTCTTAGGTTTTGGACTCAACATTCTTGTCATCTTATAGCAGAGTAGATTCCATTACTATTTTCTGTGAAAGTTACGCTTTGCAGTAGATTGGCTGGATAGATGTGTACATGTCAATCATCTTTTCCAACTTACGAAACATTAAAAAGTCATATTCGGATTCACATTCTCAAATGGGAAGATAACATTAATTAAGAGCATCACAAACTTTCATTGCCCCTTAATTTTCTTCCTCAAAAAATACACGACAAACTCTATAACACTAAACAAGGAAGATGCAAAGCGCCCTATTGTGCTTGGGGGAACTATGACGGATTGGAGCAAATGCCTCCAGGATTGATTCAAACGTGGCGAGTGTGATTCAAGGGGTGGTGTAGAGGAGGAGCTGCTGCGGTGGCGTTGAGGCTGTGAGACGGTGGTGGTGATGCTAGAGACGACGGCGGCAGCGGCGGTAGGCATTGGTAACACTTGGTGAAGAGCCCAAATGTGTCAATCTGGTTAATGAAATTTGTCACGCTGGCCCACCCACCAAATCCAAACCCAACAACTAGGACCCACACCACCACGAACACGTTGATCGTGTATGCCCCTACCCATCTCCCAACAAACCTCGGCGGTTGCTCCACCGCATTCTGCATCAATCAATCACAGCCGTTTATCACTAATAATCGCGAATCAAAGGTACAAATCAGCCTGCCTCCTTTTCTACTCTTTTACGTACGAGAGACGGTGAAATTAAAGAAGAAAAGAAATATGTTTTGTGCTCCCAGATTTAGAAAATCAGGTACGAACAGATATTCTGAATCTGATTCTCGTGCTTTTTCATGGATTAAAAAAAAAAAACGAAAAATTATAATTCAATTTAGATTTCATTGAAACGATACCCTATCGACAACGATGAGTCTTTCGAGATTAAATTTTTTTATTTAATAAATTTTATTTTATAATTTAATATAATTT